GGAGCCACTGGCTGTGGTGGGCTCTCCGTACTGGATGGCACCCGAAGTGCTGCGAGGGGAGATCTACAATGAGAAGGTGAGGCACCATCACTGCCATACATGGGACTTTATCTGAGCTTGCACCATCAGTGGTTGACAGGATTTGTGGCCCTGCGGGTGGTGGGGCACATGGAGGGAAGGAACTGGGCATCATCCCTGAGGTGGTGAGGTGGCAGGGCCCCTGGTACAGCTCCACGGGGAGGAAGGGGGCTGTGGCTTCACAGAAGGGTGGGCACATCGCCTCAGGGCTGCAGAACCCCCCATGACTCTCTGCTCTCTGCTCACACAGGCTGATGTGTTTGCGTACGGCATCATCCTGTGTGAGACCATCGCTCGCGTCCCCGCTGACCCCGACTACCTGCCCCGCACTGAGGTGACTCCCTGGGGTGGGGACAGGGAGGGGGGGCAGTGGGCAGCAGCGCTGGGGCTGCTTTGATGAATGAGGGAGACTACACTCCTTCACAGGGCAGAGCCCCATATGTGGGAGCTGCCCTGCGTCTCTGGGCAGGGGTGCTGTCTCCCAAATGTCTCCTGGCAGCAAGAGCTGCTCCCCAGGGAGGGATGCTCTTTACCAGCAACCTGTCCTTGAAGCCTGGAGTTGGCCTGGGTGGGATGAGGGAAGGGTAGCATTCAAGCAGAGAGCAGGAGGGATCTGTGTCCCACCATCCTCCAGCCTTGCCCCAACTTGGGGTGACCCCAGGGTCCCCCCTTGCTGTGTCCCAGCTGGGGTGATGCCAGGTCCACAGCCCTGGCTGGCAAGCAGTCAGTGTGGGGAGGGGGGACCAGGCCACCCCAGATCCCTCAGGGGACCCAACCTCACTCTTTCTCCTTTCCCTGGCACAGGATTTTGGCCTGGATGTCACGACTTTCCGCACCATGGTGGGAATCGACTGCCCAGCAGCCTTCCTCCAGCTCGCTTTCCACTGCTGCAGTGTGAGCCTCTCATCTCAGCCGGGGTGGGACAGGACAGGCAGCCCTGCCTGCACAGAGGGAGAGGCAGGGAGCAGCCTTTGCTGGGCAGGGCTCCCTGGGGTGCTGGGGGGGATGCAGAGCTCACCCATAACCCCTCCCATCCACAGATGGAGCCCACCTCCCGTCCCTCATTCCTGGAAATCACGCAGTGCCTGGAGGGTGTCCTGCAGCATCAGCCAGGCACGGAAGCCACCGGGGCCACCCTCTTCT